CGCCCACAGCCTTCCCCAGACCCCGCCCACAGCCTTCCCCAGACCCCAGAGATCGCTGGGCTGCCGCCGGGGGCCCCTATGCCTCACATAGGAGAGGACATGCCATCCTGACTTCTGGTCTGCCTCTCATCCTTAACTGCCCTCTGGCTCCATTGGTTCAGTTGCAAATGGTAGGATGACTCCTCCCTCGTAGCTGAGCGACCTGTTGTGTGCATGGACCTCTGTGGCTTTACCCGCCCACCACAGTGAGCACCAGGGCCCTCTTGAGCAGTGCTGCGGCATCCCCATGCCGTTCCCTATGGTCCTCCGGGTTCAGAGGACATCTGGCTTCAGAACACCATGCCTGGCTGGGCATAGGGTTCGAGTCTCCTGGGTCATAATGTCCTGCGGTCACACTCCGAAGTCACTGCCTGCTGGTGTGGGGCGTTGCCTCTCGCGCCCACCCTGGTTCTGTCACCTTGCCACCTCCTCACTTTTAGGTTGGCACCTAAAATCAGTCTCTGGAATGGTTAGACACAGGGTTGGAACCAACGCGTGCTTCCCTGGGGTCAGAGGTGGTGCCCCTCCAGAATGCTCCCTTTGACCTGGAGTCGGCTCGGCTCCCACCCAAGCACAGACTGGAGGAGGGGGAAGCTGAGCCTGGCCTTGAGGGACCTGGAGCTCCGACCCCGAGTGGCGTGGGCAGGTCTCCCCTCCCAAGTCTCCCCTCCCAAGTCGGCACCTGCGTGGGCCGTGAACACTGAGCCTGCAGCTGTGCACGTACCCCGCGGGCAGGAGCCGTTCCCTTGCACTGCGCTCTGGGTCTTCTGCTCCTCCCATCCGACAGGCCTGCTCTTGGCTCTGAGAGCCTTTGCGTCCAGACCACTGTCTGAGTTCCAAGTGTTCGGTCCCCCGCCAAACCCCGTGGGCTCTGATGCACTGTGGCTTCAGGGGCGCTCTCTCCTTGAAGTCAAAATCCTATTTTTGTGATTCCAAAGATACCGTGCATATGCGGGGAAATTAAAGCAGGACAGGGATCGCAGACACCATGTCCCTCCCCGTCCTGCCGTCCGCGGCAGCACAGGAGGAGAGGAACCGCCTTTGAAAAACGAGCACTTGGAGATGAATCTAGTGGCAGGTTGTTTTCTCCAGTGTTTTTTGTGTTTTTATAGTTGTAGAGGGACAGACTGCCTTTGTTTTTGTCTTTAAGTGTGCTAAGGATCAAACCCAGTCCTCACGCATGCTTGGAAAGCACTGCACCACTGAGTACACTCTGCTCTGAGCGACGGCTGCAGCCCGTTTTAGAGTTTTAGTTGAACGAATGAATTAGCTTGAGAAATGGCCAAATCGCCCTCTGTGGATGTCAATCAGGTGTTCAAGTGTCCCGTATTGGACAAGGGGGTCGCCATCAGTCCTTCACCAGCAGGACCCTAGGCTTTCCCTCCTATAGTGAATGGTGACGTGGGACATGCAAGCTCTCCCCCCATGGTGCCTCTAGGGTGGGTGCTCTCACGGGGTGCTCAACGACTAATAAATCACGTGTCAAAGGGGAACACCTAGAGTGACCCTGAACACCTTGACTGTGAAGGACAGATGTCGATTTTTCTCCTTCGTGACATTGGGTCGGTGACTTTTTCCTTCTCTCGGGTAGGTCCCAGAGTTATCAGGACCTACATCTTTCCTGGAGCGAGCTCTGCTCTGTGTTCAGCTCCAACAAGAGCCTGGTCTTCCTGGACATCAGCCACAGCTTCCTGAGCAGCCAGTTTGTGAGGACGCTCTGTGACCAGCTGGCCTCTGCAAACTGCTGTCTCCAGAAAGTGATGTAAGTCCTCTGTCCCAGGCTAACATCCCAAGGGGCACAGCCAAGCTTCTTACTGTTGGATGTTGGAGGAATATTCAAATTCCTGTCCCAGACTCCAACCAGGCACCGAGATGCAAGGGGCCGAGATGCTCCTGTCCTTGGAGAGTACAGTGGGAGGATCCCATAAAGCCAGGTTAATGCCGTGTGCAATGTCACCTGGGCATTCCTCCAAAGGGCAGGAGGTAGAGAACGTGCAGACCCCTCGCGCTGTTGGTCTACCGTGAGCCCCGGTGGCCACACATACAGCACATCTCGGCCTCTGCCGACACCCAGGGCTGGGCTTCTTTGTTGGAAGGAGGGGCTGCCTGTTGCGCTGTAGGACACTGAGCAGCGTCCCTGACCTCCACCTGCTACATTCCAGCAGCACCCTCTCCCCAGACGGTGATAACCAAAACTGTCCCCAGATGTCACCCAGTGTCCCGGGATGCTGAATCTCACCAGGCTGGTACCCGCCGATGGCGGGGGGGGGGGGGGGGGGGGGAGCGCAGGCCCGAGAGCTGAGTGCAAGTTAATGCAGGTGGGGAACGGTACCTATGTGGCATAAGTACTGCCATTCAGAGTGACATGTGCCCTCCAGAGCATCCCTGGGCCAAGTCGCGGCCGAGGGACGGAAGTCTTGCAGGTCTACACCTGGTAGGCGGTGTGGGGCAGGGGACCGCACAGCCTGCTCACCAGGTGGCCAGTCGGAAGCTCTCGGCTTAGCTAGGACGTCCTCAAGTGGCATCATGTTTTTCTTTCTTGATGGAGGGAAATGGGAGCCCTTGCCCACTAAGGACTGCGCTGGCCACACGGTCCCGATTCTAGACACAAGAGAATTCCAGAGTCGAATCCTGCAATGACCTTCTGTGTCTGACCCTCCTCCAACAGCCTAAGGTGGCTAAAGGAACTAGAAGTCAGCATCTGAGATGCTGGTCAAGGGGCAGAGTCTGTTATGAGAGATGGCTGCAAGCCAGACACCTCCTGACGGCAATGTGAATTTAGTTCATACTGTATCATGCCCTCAAAATCTGCTGAGAGGGTATCTCGAAAGTCTTCTCACCCCCAGACACAGAAAATGGTCAGTGTGAGATGATTGGTATGTTAATTAGCTTGATGGGGCAATTACTTTACATAACGTTCCTATATCAAAACATGGTTGTGCACCTTAAACATTATATAATTTTTGTCAATGATGCCCCAAAGATGGGATTGGGGATTGAACCCAGGGCCTTGCACACGCCAGGCAAGTGCCCTACCACTGGTCACACCCCAGCCCTTCTTATTTGGAGACAGTCTCACAAAGTTGCCAAGGCTAGCCTCAAACTTGCCATCTTCCTGCCTCAGCCTTCCGTGTCGCTGGGACTAGGGAGTATTTTTTAACGTGAAAGAAAGGTTCCAAAATGTCCCCATCCTGCAACTCTGTTTCTGTTCATGTGCAGAAGGATAGAACTCAAAGCCTCATCTTTGTTTTCTGTTCCTTAGCCTCAAAAACATTTCCCCGGCTGGTGCTTATCAGAACCTCTGCCTCGCTTTCGGAGGACACAAGACCCTGACACATCTGACCCTTGAAGGCAGTGAGCTGGACGATGTGCTTTCCTCCTTGCGTCAGGTTTTGAGTCACTGGAGATGCAAGCTGCAATGTCTCAGGTATCTCTCTGTCACCAAGACCCCTCCTGGCACAGAGCTATCGCAACCTGGGCTGCAAATCTGCATAAATTGGAAGAAAACCTTCCTTCTTTTAACTGGAAATGGCAGCACCTGGGGTGCATTGGCCAGAATAGCACATGGGCTGGAGTTCCGTCTCCTCCGGCCTTGAACGCTGAGTAACCTGAACCACCACACAGGGAAGCCCCCAGTCCCAAGGGCTACCCAGAATCTGGAGAGCATCCTATCAGGCCACTGGGGGTTCACGTTCCTCCTGGGTCACGAGGCCAAAGGCCTCCCCTGTCCAGGCAAGGACCCCAGGAGCCCCAGGCTGCCCTCTCCTGCAGCACTCTGGAGATCTGCCTTGGGAAGTTCTCTGCAGGGTTGTGCTGGTGTTGGCCACCCCCACCTGGAGTGGCAGCAGGGACAGTCTACAGTGGGCATTAGCCTCTGCTGAGGGAGGGGTTGCTGGGCTCTTCAACAAAGCAAAATGGGGCAGCCAGCCCGTCACCAGGGCAGAGGGCAGGGGAAACCAGGTCCCAGCACATGCGCTTGATGGCCATCGCCATTGGCCATTGCAAAGGACCCTCCTTGCCCCCTCCTGGGAGCGTCAACAAGGACAGAGTCGTGTGACTAGAGACCTGGGTCACTGGCTGATTTTTGGCCAGGAAGTTGGTACCCAAATCGGAGGCCCATAGGAGGCCACCCGAGCCCAGCCTCCTGTCCCTCCGGAGGCACCTGACCTTGTGCCTGGCTCCCCCGCTCGGTGGGCTCCTGCTGTGACTTGGGCTCTGAGAGAAGGTCTTCTGTTGTTCCTCTTGGGTTTTCCAGTCAGTTCAGCCATGTGGCAGGCACCCCACTTGGGCCCCAGTTGGGGTACCGACCGGTGACCCTCAGCGTGAGGACACTCTTGGCTCCGATTCGCAGGTGCCAGAGGGAGATGGCGTTCGCACACATACTCCACAGAAGAGCCAGGCCCAGGCCAGATGCCAAGGGCTCCTCCTGCCCACAGTCGGGAGCAGAACAAGCCCAGGGTTTCTGAATGTCGTTCTAGACCTGTGGTCCAGCCAGAGGCTACTGTGTCTCCTGGGAACTGCTGAAGTGCGGATTCCTGGGTCCTGTCCCAGGTGGTCTGAATCGCATCCTGTGGACGTGGCACAGGAATTAACACCTCCCCTGGGGGACACTGGACTCTGCATCAGAGCCAGGCGGGGTGATGCAGACCTGCATTTCTTGCTGGCTCCCAGAAGGTTTGGGCTGCTGGCCCTGGGGAACCGTGACAGCCAGGGCGCTGGACCACACGGGCTTTGGGGCACTGGCACAGCCGAGTGCCAGACCGGAGGCCATCCCACCGAGCTTGGATTCTCGGGAATGACGGGCTCCGTCTCCCCCACAGGCTGGGGCCCTGCTCTGCCCCTGTACCGGAGTGGGCGGACCTCTTCCTGACCCTCCAGTTCAATCACTCCCTGACGTGCCTGGACCTCTCCGACAGCGAGCTCCTGGACGAGGGGGCCAAGCTGCTGTGCGCAGGGCTGAGATACCCCACGTGCCCCGTGCAGAGGCTGTCGTAAGTCTCCCCCCTCCTGGGTGTCCTGTGGGGTCTGGGGACGCAGGGGAAGAACGGTGGCCCTGGACATGCAGGCAGCCCTGTGGAACCACCCAGTGACCCTACGCCTGCTTCCGTCTCTGGTCCAGGTGAACAGTTCCAGCCAGCATCTCACTGCTGTCCTTTCCGTCCCCACGGGGTCACCAGCAGGGTGGGAAGAGGACGAGGAACTGAGACGGGCTTTAGGGACCCCCTGTTTGGAGACGGCTGGGAAGACTGGGTGTGGGGTGCTCTGCTCACTGCCCTTTCCTGTGACTCCTGCAGGTTGGAGAACTGTCAACTCACGGAAGCCTGTTGCAAGGAAGTGTCTGTCACTCTGGTCGTCAGCCAGAGGCTGACACACCTGTGCCTGGCCAAGAACGACCTCGGGGATGACGGGGTGAAGACCCTGTGTGAGGGCTTGCGCTACCCCTCCTGCCAGCTGCAGGCACTGGTGTAAGTCCTGGGGCTGCCGCGTGCGTGAGGCCCGCGGGTCGCTGTGCATGAGGCCCGAGGGGCTGCTGGCAGCAGACAACTCCTCAGAACTCCCAAGTATGACATAGCAGTTATAACTGGCGAGACCAGGGAGATGGTGACAAAGAAAACTGGTGCCAGCCAGGGACATAGGTCAGGGAGGGACGCACCCTTAGCCTGTGTGAGGCCCTGCGTGTGGTCCCAGCACAGAGTGTCGCTGTTACACGGGCCCTGCGGGGTGTGGCGGGTGCCCAGGTCTGGTGTTTAGAACCGAGTCACAGAGGCCACATGCAACTGGGCACAGTGGAAGTCATCTGACGCCAAGGACAAAGCCTTAGAGAGGAAAGGGGCTGCCAGGTCCGGGCACACGCCTGTCGTCCCAGCAACCCCGGGCGGAGACACAGGATTGCAAGCCCCAAGCCAGCCTGGGCAACTTGGGGGCCCCCCGCAGCTTAGCAAGACCCTGCCTCAAAATAACAGTTCATTAAAACCTAAAGAGGTCGCTCGGTGGCAAAGCGCCCTGGGCTCTGTCCCCAGCACCAACAGTTGGGGCTGCGGTCCCAGGTCCTGTTCAGAGACTGTCGAGCACTGCGGTCCGGGAAGTCACCTCCGACAGAGAAACTGCTCGCTCGGCTCTGGGGACGTGACTTGGGAGGAGCACAGGCTTACACACGCAGGGCCTGTTGGGCACCCACCCCACAGTCGCACACACACACTCCACACACAGTCACACTGGGTCACCCTCTCACACCCACACACAGTGTCTGTCTCACACACACAGTCTCACACACCCACCCACCCACACACACACACACACCCCGTGTCGGCTTCTCCTGGAGTTCCCACCTAGGACACGCTCTAGGTGGAATCTGAAATCTACTCGCCTTTCAAAGCCCTTAGTCTGCGGGACAGAGGTGACGTGCCGAGACCCTGTCCACACAGTAAGCCTCCGAACACTAAAAGGAGTGCCCTCCCCGCCACCCTGCCTGCAGGCTAGTCTGGTGGTGGTGGAGGTCGGCGCCATCCGGGTGACGCGTGGCTGGCCGAGGGGGAGTGTCCTGGCTCGGGTGGCCCCAGGGACTGACGGTCCGCTCTCCTCGCTGCCTCCAGGCTGTGGTGCTGCAGCATAGCCAGCGAGGGCTGTGGCCACCTCTCCACGGTCCTCCGCCAAGGGTCCAGCCTGACGCAGCTGGACCTGGGGCTGAACCACGTTGGGGTCCCCGGCCTGAAGGCGCTCTGTGAGGCTCTGAAGGCACCGCAGTGCGGCCTGCAGCGTCTGTGGTGAGTTCCTCCTTACTTACTGCACCGTCCCGGCCGGGGAGGGAGGTGTCACCGGAGCGGGCGGCTCCGTGGGGATCCAGAGGTATCTTAAAAGTCACCAGGACGGTTGGGGGAATGGGCTCTAGTCTGCCAAAGGTCATCGGGAGGAACTTGGAAGCCGCGATGCTAGACATTGAGAAGCAGCCGCTGCTGCCCAGTCCCAGTGTCCAGAGAGGTGGGAACTGGCGGCACCTGTGAACACACCCCAGAGGCCAGCGAGTGGGTGCCCCTGGGGGCCACCTTACAGGTCCCGCCAGGGCTGGGTCCCCTCGGCCAGATACACAGGGGTCTCCACATGTGAGCAGGGCCTGTCCTGCCGCTCCTCTTGTCCTGTGTAGCGTCCTCCTGGTTCATGCAGTGCCCACAAATGCCAGGGCCGCTGCCTCCTGTGCCAACACCTCCTCTGCTGGGGACACCTGCGTGGTTTCCTACCTTGGCCATCGTCAGCTGTGAGGAAAACAGACGAGATGCAGAGGCAGACTGGCCAAGCGGCCAGCTTGATTTCCCCCAGGTCACTGGCATCTGGAGTGCCTTTGTTCATGGTGTCATCGGGCAGTTCAGAGCTGGCAGCGGTACACAGCTGACTCCTCGGTTGGTACCAAGTTGCAGTGTGCAAGGTCAGGAGCTTGGTGCGGCTCCCGAGGCCACTGTTTAAAGTGACAGTTAGTGGACAGGTGCAGGTGCGGCGGAGCTTGGGGAAACCCTGGCTGTCTGACGAGAGCCCCTTTATTCCCGGGAGCCGAGTGTCAGATCAAGGTCGAGGCTGAGAAGACTGGCACAGCGGCCTCAGCAGGGCACTGCCCCAGCAGCCAGGCACCTGTGTCTGCGCCGACGCTCGAGCCACCAAGCAGGCCAGCCGTGGAGCTCCCAGACCCCATCCCAAACAGAGCCCTCAGTCGGCACGGCTGCGGTGACGGGCATCTAAAAAGCCAGACTCACACCAGCAGGAGCAGGGTGGCCACTGAGGGAATGAGACGGAGTCTTAAACCAGGACTTCTGGGCACTCGGAGCCCACGGGATCTCTGGACAGAGATGATTTCACTCAGAACAGAATCCTCCCGTTGCTCTTTCCTCCTCTTCCAAGTCCAACCCACCCTGGAGCCCCATTGCCCTCTTCCTGGTGTCTGGCCACACACCTCCCCAAACTGGTGGCACCTGGAGGTTACGTGCCCTCAAACAGGTCAGGTGTCTTTGCTTTCCACCCAAGCAAAAAGAATACCTGAGGTGTAGCTCCTACCCCGTCTCAGGGCCCGAGGGGGCACCCGTCTCAACCCAAGCAAGACCCGAGGATGATGGCAGCCTGGGCTCTGCCGAGCTGCCCCGTACCTAATCCTCCCTCCTCTTGTCTGGTGCCTTGACCTTTGGTTTTGAGATAATCGTATGCAACCTCGGGGTTCAGAGGTTCAGCACAGCGCTTCTCTGCCCGGGAGCAGCTCCTCCAGGTCTCCACCCACTCAGGTCACCTTCAACCAGCCACTCGGCCACTACCGTCCTCACAGCCCCCCTGTGTACTATGTGCCACACTCTTCTCTCCCTTCTTAGGGGACAGGCCCTGATGCTTGATGCCCAGGGTCGGATCCCCAAGGCCCACCGGAGGCCTGAGGAGCACCGTCCAGGGTCTCACTTGCTCCTGTGTCCCCGCAGGCTGTGGGGCTGCTCCCTCACTCCCTTCAGCTGCCAGGACCTCTCCTACGCCCTCAGCTGCAACCGCAGCCTCGTCACCCTGGACCTGGGCCAGAACTCCCTGGGCTTCCATGGAGTCAAGATGCTGTGTGACGCCTTGAGACTTCAGAACTGCCCCCTGCAGACGCTCAGGTATGGGCCCCGGCCCTGTCCCCCAGGTGGGTTTTGAGGTGAGACAGAAGCCTTAGGATTCCCTCATAGGGGCCCTTGCCCATATTCAGCTACCTGCCTGGGCAACTGGTCACCAGAGACCCTCCTGTTGACCCGTCCACTGTATTGGCCAGTCGGAGAGGAGACCAGCACTTGTGGGAGGCCAAGAAGCCAGGATTATGTGAGGGCGGGCTGCAGAGGCCAGCCATCACCTCCTTGGGTCAGCCCTGGACGGAAGCTGTCCAGAGCGAGGCTGCCTCGGAGGTGCCCTCGCCGTCGGCGGCGCCAGCTTGCCCGCTGGGGGGAGCTGCCTTGGGCTCTGCGGTCTGCTTGTGGCAGGCCCCTTCGTAGGAGCTCTGGAAACGGCCGTGAAACGGGGAGGAAGCAGACTGCACGCTTACCTCACGGGAACCTCCACCCGGAGTCCCTGTCGGTGGTCAGGACCCGGGGGCCATAAGCCCTGCCTCCCCTACCAAGCACACTCATGAGTCACCCCCCCACGGTCCCCGATGTCGGTGAGGTCCCCAAAAGGCAGCGTGGGCTGTTGCTTTGGACAGTTGGACAGCCGGACGCGCCCTCCTGGGTCTTGGAGTTCCAGGACGGTGACCGGGTGAGGGCTTCTTCCTGGCTCCAGTCCTAGAGCCGCGTGAGCACCAGGCCCTGCCCTTCCAGAGCGTGGATTTGGGCCCTGAGATTCTATCGGCCACCCAACCTTCCAGTGACTCCCAGGTGGACTACTGACACCTTCTGTGCTGGACGCCAAAGATCCTGATGGCCACCCTGGTCTTCGGGTCCGCGGGTCTTGGACCTGCTTCTCGCTCGCCCCACGGGTGTGCAAGCCCTGGGTTTGGCTGGGCAGTTGGCTTTGTCCTCTAGGCGGACTGTGACTGAGCTCCCGCAATCACCCTTGACCTGGAGGGTCACCTCCGTCCACCCCCGTGCTAGCTGGGCCCGCGGTAGCCAAAGTGCTTCAGGCTGCTGATGAGACACTGACCTAGCCAGCTTGGGGCCCCGCGGCCAGTCGTGAGCCCCAGCCCGAATCAACGATGTGCTGGCCAGGTGGGGCCTCCCTGCCAACAAGCAACCTGGCGGCGGACGCCTTCAGGGACCCCTGTCCCTCTGTCCCCACGTCTACCCTCACATGGTTGAGTGGGATTACCTCAGGGTGAATCCTAGAAATGAGACAAAACCAGTGCGGTGGCCGAGGGGCTGGCCCAGACAAGGGGTGGTCACCTCAGTTGGTCCAAGATGTACGTCCCTAGGGACAGGTGCTCCTGGGTCCACCAGGCAGGACAGGGGCTGGCAGGGGTCACTGAGGTGGTATCAGTTGTCACATGTGCCATTGGTGCCATCTCATGCCCACCGTGCCAGCGCCATCCAGGCACACACTGCTGCTGTCCACCCTGTGCCGCTGCCTAATGACCTCTCCTGTGCAGCACAGACCCTGGGAGAGGGCGGCCAGGGCCTGTGGACCCCTCAAGCACAAGGCCCTCGGGCACTTGGGAATCAGGTGACCAGCGTTTTCTCCCGCTTCGTGCCCCAGGTTGAAAATAGAGGAATCCGACACAGACATCCAGAATCTCCTGAGAGAGATCAAAGAGAGCAACCCGCGGCTGGCCATCGACGGCAGCCGCCGCGACCCCCAGAGACACAGACCCTCTGCTGATGACTTCCTTTTCTGAACCTCCCTGCGCCCCAGAGTCCCCCTCCCAGAGTCATGGCCCTCAGGCTATCGGGTGCCTCCCGCAGCAGCTGGGCTGGGCGTCCCTGCGGCCCTCGCCTGCTCTGGTGTACACGAGCATGCGTTGGTGTCACGGTGTATGGTGTACGGTGTAGAGGGATAAAGGTGAAAGCATTCATGGCAGCTTTGTGTTGGTGGCTCTCGCCAGAGCAGGGAAGAGCCGCTCTGTCTGGGGAGAACCGGGACCAGGCGAGGGGGCAGGGTCCTGTGCACGGGCTCCTGTGGCCCTGCTCCGCTCTGCTCGGATCCGCTGTCTGCTGGGGCTGGGGCTCAGGACTGGCCGCGGGGCCCTGAGCTGGCTAGGTCAGCTTCCGACCCCACAGTATTACAGGCACAGATTCCTCTGCACAATGCTGGGAATTCCAGTCCACACTAAAGATGTCTGGGGGCTGGGAATGTAGTCGGTGGTAAAGTGAGCGCTTCCGTGTGCAAGGCTCCCCCGAAAGTCACCTAGTCAAAACAGAACTGGAGTTCCACCCTTGGTAAATGGCCAGTGGGTAAACAAATGCTGTGGCAAGAAGGTCACATGACCTTGGAAGGACCTGAGGTGGTACTCGGCAGGGGAGCCCCACACAGTGACCTAGCGGGTGGGCAGGACTCGGTACTGTGAGCTACCCAGTACCCGTCGTTGGCGGCCACGTTAGCTGCTCTACCAAGAACCCAGGGAACTTGCCCTCCTGCCTTTGGGGACCAGCCTGTGGTAGCCACATGCCGTGCTCTGCCGCCATGGGCCCAGCACCCGGGGTCCACACACGGGGCCTGTGTGGGGTTCCTCTTTCTGGCTCATGTCACTCAGCAGTGTCCTCTGGGTTCAGTCGTGCCTCTGCAAATGACGGCTTTCCTGGGATTTTGGTTTGGGGCTGGAGGTCCAATGTGGGACCTCACACACCCAAGGCAAGAGCCCCACCGCTGACCCACGTCCCGGCCCCTCCTGGTTTTCTGAAAGCCAGACAGCACAGCACTGAGCCATGACAGTGCCCCCACTGTCCCTGCTGCTGCGAGCTCGTTGGTGGCCGCCCTGCGGCTCCTCCTGTCTGGACGCCCCCTACCTCCAGGTCCATGCCTGGCTGGTGCTAGTCCCTCAGGCTTCCTGCAAAGTGATGCTTCCTCCTAAAACTGCTGCCCCCACGGACTTGCCCAGCGGAAGCCGTGGGACGTCAAGGCCACCTGCGTGCCCCTGACAGGCGGGCGAGGCGGCACAGCCCCCACAGCCTCGCAGTCCCCTCCTCCTCCCGCAGCTGCAGGAGCGGGGCCCTGTCATGGGAGACTCAGGCCACCTACCACTCGCCTGGGAAAGCACCGGATTCAGGACGTGACGTGGGGCTCCTGAGGGGCTGTCATTTCCACACACTGCGCACTGGGCTGTCCGCACAACCTGCCCAGTGAGCGACCCCTGATGCTCACCTCCTCAACCTCCCTGGAGAGCAGATCATCCCCTGGACGCCCCACCATGCCAGACGGAGGCTCCCCGGACCCACCTAACTCGGCCCACAAGCACTCTCCTGTCCTCAGGCTGCGGGTGCCCTTCTCCGCCTGAACCTGGGCTGTCACGGAACTGCCCGGTGGCGCTCCCTATCTGCGAATGGAAGGTGGAATTGCAAGCTTCTACTTTCCCATGGTGCACGTGGCTGACCTCACAGGTGAGACAGAGGGCACCCGGGTCATAAGGGACTCATGGGTCCATGAGGGCCGAGGTGTCCAGAAACCAGAGAAGGAAGAGCTGCCTGTGTCCAGGCCCCAGGGAGGAGGCCACTGCGGAGGACAGGCCGGGTGGCCAGAGGGCCGAGTCGTCCACATCCTGGTCACCTGCCTGGATGGCTCTGGTTAGGACTCCTCTCCCCCAGCCTCTGGTCCAGGCTTGAGTTTGGGTATAAAACGCGGAGAGGCCACGTGAACCTCCAGTCCCTCTCTGGCAGCGCCTGAGGCCAAACCCGACCAGGAGCATAGCTCACCCTCTGGGAAGTCACCCCCAGGGCCGGGTCCCCTGGCTCGAGGTTCCTTCTGTAGGAGCTGGAGCTCCGTGCATTCAGGGGTCGCGTCCCTGGAGGCTGGGGTGGATGTGGGCTGATGCGATGGTCCACGATGCAGATTAGCGGTGGACACTGGGGCAGGTCAGGTGTGGCGGGGAGGTGGGTCACTGGGGCGAGTCCTGGGGTGTGTGCTGGGTCCCTGGTGAATGGGGCGTCTCCTGTGGCCCCGCCCTGAGTGGCTTTCCCCCTCTACACCCTCTGCCATGAGCTTCTCCCCCGCCTTGGGCCCAGAGCCACGGAGTCGGTCACCCGTGGACTGAGGCCTCTGGAACAGCCCCACATAAACTTCCCCCACCCCCGATTGCTCCTGTCCCGTGTTTTGGTCACAGTGGCAAAGCCGACTGAGACAAGGTAAAGTTCACATCACGTCAAGTTAACCTTCCCCTAGATCTATGTTTCACGGACATAAAAACACAGGAGTTGTGCGCGTCGACCACGTGACAGTCCAGCACGTGCGCACGCCGAGTGGTGCTCAAGGCAGAGGGAACGGCTGTCTCCTCCACGTTTCTTCATGGCGACGACATCCAGATCCCTCCTCCCAGCTTTCTGAGACATACAGCACACTGTTGTCGATAGTCACCTGCACGTCTTAAAGGCACCATGGTGGCATCTAGTACGTCACAGTGTGTGCCGCCGTCCCTCTGTTCCAGTTTTCAACTCTGTAAAGGACAACCCCACTCTGAAGCTGTCCCCACCCCGAGGCACCAGTCAGGGCCCCTGTAGACCTTCAGGCTCTCTCCCTGCCCCCCAGACATGGGTGCCTTCCACAGCTCCATTACCAGCAGTCAACCTCGTTCTGAAATATTAAATGGAAAATTCCAGAAACAGACCACGGATAAGGTCAGGTCCTCTGTCACGGCGTCACGGTGCTCATGGCCAAGTCACCGTGAGTTTCCCTAGCGGCTCCAAGGCACCAGAGTGTGTTCAGAGAAACATGATGCGTGGGCTCAGGCTCTGTCCGTGGTTTCAGTGTGGACACACAGGGTAAGGATGACCCCTCCTGGGGCTGGGGGGGGCACTGTGACTTTTATTGTATGCTAGTGACAATAAGAAGCGCATCCGACTGCCTGAAAGAACCAGGACCATTCTAAAAACAGATTTATCAGACCACAGCTGAAGATGGGTGGGGTGGGGCCAACCTGAGGACAGGAGACGGGGAAGGCGGTGCACAGGGCGGACAGTGAGCCGTGAGTGGGGGATGGATGTGGAGCCCGTATTAGGAGGGCGGAGGGAAGGCCATCAGTGCCTGTCCAGGGACTTAGTAACCACAGGTGAAGGTGTCTAGGACACGCAGCCTCCACTGGACTCCTTGCATCCAAGGGGACAGAGCCCCGTAGACACGGGCTCTGCGGCTCCCTGAAGAGGCCCAGCCTCCTCCCGCCCACAGTCTCCGAGCTCCGCAGGCCTTCACACCATCTGGCTCTTGGACGCGGCCACACCAGGGTTCTGACGGAGGTGCTGCTCCTGACAGCCACGCTGGGTCTGTGGGAGGGGCGGGAGGGGCCTGTGCACGGGCTGGACCCTGGGCCGCCGGGCTCTCCTCTGACTGTGCCAGTCCTCTGCCACCACACCCAGCAGCAGAATGAGGACCACGGCACCGAGGCAGATCCGGAGCAGGTTCCCCTGGGTGTGGTCCTGGCGGGCGAGACCTGGGGGGACGGTGGGGTCGGAGCAGGGGACAAGAGCCCATCCCCAGGACACCCCAGGCCCTATCTGGGCTTCTCACACTGCTGCCTGATCTTGTGTGGACCTGTTATTCTCCACCCGCGGGGATGCCCGACTCCTTCCTAGGGCGCCACAACCAGTGTCGGGGCCGCGTAGGACAGACTGTCTCACCTCCCACACGTTCAGACAGGCGACTGTCACCTCCCCCGGGGCAGAAGAGAGCTACAAGGAATTTTTCTCTCTCCAGCCCCTTCGAGAACCAGCCTTCCCTCCTGATCTGATCGCCCACTCTGAGCTCCTGCGCCTCCCTAATGTCCTTCCCACCAGCCCCAGGGGCAGCGCTCGGCTCCCACGCAGGGCAAGGGTCTGCTTTGGGCGAGAACAGGGAGAAGGGGCAGTCTGAGAGGACGGCTTACCAACTGGAGCGCCGGACCCCTCTGGAGAGACGGGGACGTTCCTGGACATGGCTAGGAATCAAAGCAGGCCAAGTGTGAGCAAATGGGACCTGCCCACCCCTGGAGAGGAACATGCCGCTGGGGAGGCAGAATCCGGGGCATTTGGGGAGGACAAGAACTACAGAGGCGGCCGCCCAGATGTGACCCCATGCCCAGCACCATGAGGCGTGGGAGCCCTGGCTGGGATGGCATTGCTCTCACCACGTTCTGAGAGTTAGATCAACACAGACTGAGCTTCCCTAATGCAACATCCTGAATCCCGAGATTCGCACAGTTTGAAATTTTTGAGCACTGATGACACCCCAAGTGGAAAATCCCACGTGACAGGTCACAGTCAAAACACAGGGGCACAAAAAATGATGTGTGGAACTGCCTTCAGGCCCCGTGTGTAGGGGCACGTGACCCAGCGTGAGTCCCATTTGGACTGGGGTCCCATCGGCAAGATACCTCCCTATCCATGGGCAGATGTTCCAAAACCCAGAGCCCCTCTGGGCCCAAGCACTTCAGACGAGGGTCACTCAGCTGTCACAGACACATGGGAAGCACCCACGTGCCAACTCTGCTTAGTCCTCAGTACTCCCTGAGACCTGTCGGGTGCTCAGCGTCGTGCTGGGTGACAGGGACCTCGAGGTTGATCAGACATTGTCCGCGTGGGGCTCCCGGATTTTAGAGGAGCCCAGGAAGTGAGGTGACAGTTTTGACATGCTATTGGCATTTCTGCAGCAGGGACCTCTCGGGGACACTGAGCTCACGGGACAATGCCAATGCAGCCTAGAGAGTCGAGATCGGCTTCCTGGAGGAACCACAGTGACAGGAAGTAGGAGGAAGGCCGAGCAGGCGGCTGGGTGAGTCAGGAGAGAGCGGCACAGCCAGACGCCGAAGGCCAAGAGCGGCTGGACGTCTACGCTCACCCAACAGCCAGCTGCTGCGTCCTGAGGGCACCGGAAAGTTCTGAACCCAGGAGGGGAAGAACCCTGTCAAGGTGGTGGACAGGACCCTGTGGGGCCAGGGGTCTAAAGACAGCCAGAGCGGCATGGGACCATGGGGACCCCTGACCTGTCCTCAGAGGACCCGTGACACTCTGCAGTTGGAGTGCGTCTGCAGAGGACTGGAGTAGGACCTGTGTCCTGCAGGGACAGTGGGTGGGGTGTGGGAACAAGTTCCCGTAGAGACGGGCGATGGTCTTCCTGTTAGCGCCATCCTCGGACAGGCCTCCCTCCCCACAAGGCTCCTCTGCTGGCCTCAGAGCCAGCCCCGGGGCCTCCATGCTCAGCCCAGGGCTGTCCTGGTGAGGGGAGGGCTCGCGACATGAGTTAAAGCCCAGAGGACAGGATGGCGGAAGAGAGCCCGTCTCACACGCCTCCCCGCTGGGCTCCAAGTGTCTGGCTACTCACCGGTGGTCGAGGCTCTGTTCCTGGGTGAGGTGATGAGTCTCCTGGAGGCTTCGGGGGACTCTAAGCAGAGGGATCATAATGACATGGATGATGTCAGTTCTTCCCCAAGGGCCCCTCTCTGCCGACCCCTCAAGGGGCAGCGGCTGCCCAGAACCCCTATCTCTGAGGAGAGACAAAGTCAAAAGGCCCCAAGTCTTAGCATCCACCTCTCTGGAGAGAACCGGATCCCGTGGTCAGCTGGTGGACGCTCGGGCCACTTCCACTGTGGTGCCATTGTGCGTAATGCTACTGCAGCCGTCACACACGGACCTTGTGTGGACCTAGGTTTTCAACTGTCTTGGTACAAACCCTGGAGTGAAATCGCTGGGTCATGGGACAACTCTATGTCTAACTCCTCGAAGGACCGCAGGCTGCTTTCCAAACACGGCACCATTTTACACCCCACCAGTAACGGAGGTGCTTCCAGCTTCTCCACATCCTCACCAACACCGTCTTTTTGTTTCCCTAACTATCCTGGTGGGCATGGTGAATTTCGTAGGGACATGAAAATGTCAACATAACGACTGACCAGTGGTCTTCACCAGCCCCCGGAACGAGCTCAGGAGGCCCCTCCGCCAAGGCCATTTGCTGACCCAGGGACCTCCCCTCGTTTTCACCTGGCCACCAAATACTCCTGAAGCCCCTCCGTCTGCACCTGTCCTATCCAGCTCTTGTTGTCATGGGGCTGGCTGCGCTGGGGACTTCTATATGGTGGGACCTGCTCAAAAACCTGGCTCACACTCAGCTCTGCCTGGAGTGGGACTGGGCTTCTCGGGGCCACTTCCCCTCCTGTGAGATTAGTTAGTGAAGCTTTTGAACAGTGTGTGGCGCTGCCTTCCCGGGAGACCACTCTGCAATCAAGGAAGGTGAACAGCCCAGAGGGCCTCAGGGGCACTGTGCCCAGGGGAAAAGGCCACCGGAACGGTCACAGGCTGGGTGGTGCCATCCATCATCTGTTCTAGAAACGCAAAATATACACACAGAACTAATCAGTAGATGCCAGGTGTTGGGGTGGTGGGGAGGGGAGGGTGTGGATGGAATATGAAGGGGTGTGTTAGGGTTTGGATGTGAGGGTCCCCCAAAAGCTCATGTGTATGACAATGCAAGAAAGTTTAGAGAGGAAACAACGATTGGGTTATGAGGGCCTTAACTAGCGGGGGTCACTGTAGGCAGGCAGGGTGAGACTCAGGAAGGTGGGACACTGGTGTGCATTGGGAGACACACACATGGGGTACTGGGACTGGAACCAGGGGTGCTTAAGCACAGAGCCACTCCCCTAGCCCCTTTTA